TGTGTTCAACACCTTCACAACAACATGAAGAATGATGGTTTTTTAGGTTTGGCACTCAAGAAGGAAATGTGGGCTGCTGCAACATGTACTAGGGTGGAAGAGTTCAAAGCCATAATGGAGAAGTTAAAGTTTGTTGATCCTAAGACTTGTAACTGGCTTGTCAAGAAGCCTCCAAATCAGTGGTCAAGATCTCACTTTAATTTAACACCTAAATGTGATATCTTGGCCAATAACATATGGAGAGCTTCAACTCACTTATTTTATCTGCTAGAGAAAAAAACATCATATGGTTGCTTGATACAGTGAAAAACATCATGATGGCAAGGATGCATACCAACATGAAGCAAGCCAAGAAATGGGATGGTGTTATCTGTCCTAGGATAAACATGATTTTGGAGCGGAACATGAAGAAAGCATGAGAACTCATCCATATGAGGTCTGATGAGTGGAATTTTCAAATCATAGGGACTTTTGAACAACATACTATTGATGTTCTTGGAAGATCTTGTTCTTGTAGGAAGTGGCGATTGATTGGACTCCCATGTAAGCATGCTATTACTGCCATTTAGTGTAGAAAAGAAGAACCAGGGTGGTATGTTCACCAGCTGTACAATGTTGAAACATATAGAAAGGCATATCAATTCCCAATATTATGCATAAATGGTCATGATTTGTGGCCTAATGTTGATCTTCGACAACCTATCCCTCCTACAAATGTGAAGAGAGCTTGAAGGCCTAAGAAGGCGGAGGAGAAATCCAACTGAGCCACCAAGTGCATTGCCTAATAATCCCCTAAGATTGAAAAGGTATCAGAGGAGTGTGACATGCAGAGTTTGTGGACAACTTGGTCACAATGCTAGAAAGCATAAGAAGGCTGACCAAAATGAAGAACAAGAAGAGGTCCCAGTGAGTGAATCTCAGCCGCCACCAGCTAGTGACCATGTTTTCTCAAGTCAGTCCCTTGCACCAACACCTCGAAACAACAACAATGATGCTGAAATTAGCAAAATTCGGGTAATTTATCACTTTTTTTTTGAATTGTACATCATTTTCTATGTTTATTACTCTGTGCTTTGATTTAAACTTGTCATATATTTACTTTGTCTATGTTGTATAGTCTCAGGAAAAGAGCATAACAATAAGGAAGAGAAATAGAGCTGAGTTGGATGGAAATGGAAATGGGAATGAGAATCGAGGACAAGCTGTCAATGTGAGTAATTGTGTTATTATCTCTACATTTTTCTTATAGAACTGTGAATTTGAGTTCAATTAGATTGAAGTTTGAGTTCTTTGTGTAAATGATTACTTAATCACATATAACAAATGCAGGTCATTCAATCTAAAGGAGTCACTTGACCAGTTGTGGTGGAAAGAGGTGTGAATTGCATAACAATGTCCAACATCAGAGCTGCCTTGAGGCCAAGGAATAGGACAGCTCATGGTAAGGACAAGGATGCAAAGAAATGACTGTGGTTTTGTGTTGGCTCATTCTGAAATTATGTTGTTTGACTTTGGATTTATTTTGGTTTGATTGTGTTGTAATGGGATAATGAGTTGTTTGGTGATTCTGGAATTATGTTTGACTGTGGATTTGTGTTTATGATGGATTTTTTATGGATTGTAGTTTGATTGTGGATTTGTAAGGACAAGGCTGTGGTGATTGTGGCTTGACTGTGGTGATTGATTTGGAAATAGATTTATGAGATAATGTGTTCTTTTGTCTTGGATAATGTTGATTCAGTTGATTGAGTTACTAAGAGGATAATGTTGTTCATTTGCATTTGGTTATAAGTAATTTGTAATGGGATAATAGTTCATTTGAATTGAAAATGATAATTTCATTTACTTGGAAAATGATGATTACATATGTTGCATATGCTAATTTTTGCTATTCAGTACATAGAACACAACTACTACAACTAGAAAAAAGACTCTAGTTTTACAACAGAATTTTTCTTGTTCAATGCAGCTAGTTGTTTTTCCATAGTGATTCTTTTGCTATTGGCTTTTCTCAATTCAGCTTCCAGGTTTCTCCTCTTATCATGAAATCATTGAGCTCATCCTCAAGCTTGTTCAACTTTGAAAGCAGTTCGGGTATTATTTGTTTGGAACGAGCACATATTTCCAAATCCATCCACTTGTATTCATAATATTCAATTGTCTACAAGAAAGAAAAATACAATCATAAATTTTGTTATAAATATGATACCAAAAAATTAAAATAATACCTCATATTTTGGACATGCCCAATATCTTCTTCCGAGATTATTGTTTGTCCAAGATGTCTTCAATAGGAGCTCTTCACCATAATAACACGAACATTTTTGGACTAGAAAATTATTACTCCAAGAACTACTATTTGAACTAGAAGAGAAACCATGTTTTATCATTTTTTTCATTTTTTTTTTCTTTTTTGTATTTTTTTGATTTTTTTTTTCAAAATTTTTCTAATTTTTTTCGTACCCAAAAGAGGAGGCTGCGTTTTTTTAATTAAAAAATTGGATACATATGGCTTATATGTATAGGCTTCATCAGGCGCCAAAGAAACACATTTCCCTCCATTTTCACCACTAACGTTAACAACTAACAGGATTTTGACGGACATCTAACGGTCGGGTATTAACGTTGCTAACAGAATAAAAGTTTAGATACTGATTTCGTACAAGTTTCAAAATGGGTACTGATTTCAAAATAGCCTTTAGTCTGGATATCAAGACTGCAATTTACCCTTTATCCTATATCTAGGAAGAATTTGTGGTCCTTGTGTGGAAATTTTTAATTGTAAAAGTATTTGAAAGTGTTTCTTTATTTGGATCTTTGCTCTTTGTTTAATTGTAATAGTATGCTATGGTCCCTCTTGCATTCAAGTGTAGGGTAGTCAAACCTTTCACTTTAATAGCAAAAATAAAGTCTTTAATTTTGTATATAGTATTATTTTATGTTGTGGTCCTTTATTTCATATTTTAATCATATCATATTTGTTTGTAGAATATGATACGTATTTGATGTTAGAGTTGATGGAGTGATAAATGAGTGTCTTTTGTGCACTACTTTGGTGGCCAAAGAGTTGCAGTTGACTACTATGATGTGGAAAAATTGTCCATGTTTGAGATTATAAATGTGTACAGGAAAGCAAGTGGCAAAACATCCACTGTAGAAGTTATTTCACACAAGCCTAGAAAGAATATAAACAACAAAGAAGATGATGAAGATTACGTCTGACAATGACATTTTGGAGTTGGTGAATAAATATGGAGGGCAGTATGTGATTCCACTTTACTTTGAAGATTTGCGAGCCCCTGTACAATAAATGTTGAGTGATGGGAATCTGATGGATTCACAAAAAGAAATCCCCCTTCTTAAATAATAAATATCCATATACTCAAGAGAACCTTCTTATAGACATGTTTGGTGACCAACAAACATCACCACATCACAGTGATAAAGAAGTACAACATGAGGAGGATAATGTGCAATAAAATGAAGAAGAAGCACACCAGAGTGAAGAAGCACAAGATTGTGCTGGTGAGGTGGATCCTACAGATGAGAGATATGATGTTAGTTCACATGATGGTGCTAGTGAGGAGAAACCTACAGAAGAGACACATGATAGTGTTGGCTAGAGAGATGAGACCTACTTGAAGAGGCGCCAGGTGGCTCATTTGGATTCTTTTTTCTCAGTTTTTTGGGCCTTCCTATACTTTTGTGGATGACTAGAGGTAGAGGTGGCAAATTAGATGTTGGCCACAACTTAGACCTAGGGCAGGTATCTGATTGTTAACCGAACCAATACGATAAAATCGATACCGAACCAATATATTCGGTAAAACTAAACTGCAAAACCGAAACCGAACCAATTAAAATTCAGGAACCGATTTTTGGTTACCAAAAACACGGATTCGATTTCGATTTTCTATCGATAAAAAACCAAAAACCCAAAAAATAAAAAAAAAATAAAAATAAAAAATAAAAACAAAACAGTGCTCTAATTAGTAAGAAAGAAGGAAGAAGGGTAAAAAATAAAACTTTTGTTTTTTTGGTTTTATTTCATTTGTTTGTTCGGTTTCACCGCTTTGGTTAAATTTGCAGTGCGGCAAGAAAAAAAAAGTGAGATTAAAAAAATGGTGGAATTATTGTGGCCAGTACAAAAAAAATTCTTATTAGTAATTACATATATGTTGAGGCCGTGAGGGGCTCATTTTTAATTTTGTCTATTTATTTATTTATTTGTTTATTTATTTATTTTTTGTTCTCTGGATTTAGTCTAATAATGTGACTTGCGAGTTTGTATAAGACTGACTAATTAAGTTATGTATTATTGTAGCCTACTTTATTATTTTATTTAACTAAATTAAGTATTTAACTGGCTAATATTAAGTAAGACTACTTAAATGACTTAACTTGGCTATTATTTTAAAATCTAAACTAATATTCGCTTAATCTTTATCGGTTCAGTTTTACCGAACCCTTATGGGATCGGAACAGATATTGAACCGATATCAATTCAGTAAACCGATGATCGGTTACAGTTACAAATGAATCGATTTGGTTCGGTCGTCGATTTTTTGTAAAAAAAAATAAGGGTTAATTGCAGGAAAAATCTTGACCTTTACTTAAATTGCAAATAAAACTCCACCTTCTCAATTTGACAAAACAATACACAACCTTTCAAAAATTTTGCAATTATGTCTCGAAGGAAGAATCCAGTCAACTGATGCTGACATGGCATGTCGGTAAATTGATGTGGCACCGGTTTTGTGATGTGGCAAAAAGACATTTTACACATAAGAGTCCATGTCATCTCACTTACATGTAGGAATGCCACGTAGATTGGGAAAAACTACTTTATTTGTACCAAAAAAAAAGAAGAACAGAAGCAGAAACCTCTGCGATTCTATTTGGCGATTTTCTCTAAATGATGACGAAAGCAAAACGATGAAGAAGAAGAAAGAGAAGAACACAAATGGCCCATTACAAGATATCAATGGCCGATTATTACCTAATATCGATAATCTCAGCACCAAAAGACCTTCAAATTTTGCTTCCTTTTCGTCATCTTCTTTAGCTTCCGTTTCTTATGAAGCTCCAAGAACAAAATGCTATTCAATAAAACCTTCTCCCTCCTCAAAAACCTCAAATTCATCATCTTCCTCAAGACCCCATTTTCCGAAAATGCCGAACACTAACATCTCCAGAATAGCAAGTGCACCAAAGCTGCTTTCAAATCCAAAGCAAAAGATACACACAGAAAACCCTTTTCACTTATGTAGAAAAGGGACCCACCCCACAACCATAATCAAAGAAACATTGCTAAACCCATCTGCAAAAATGGTCAAAGATCAAAACTTGCACCAGCTCCGAGCAAAATAGCGAACAAATTCGAAAAGGGGCCTTCAAAATTTCGATCAAAGTTGAAGAAGATCTCGCAAAACAAGAGCCCAACTTCAGGTAATCTCATTAGCAATCCGAATTCTGATGAGAATTTTAGTCCCTTGGGAAAATTCGATTTAGATCCCGTAAATTTTAAGACTGAAATAGTGAATTTTTCATCACATAAAGTAGTTAAAGAGAATATTAGTTGTTGTACTGCTGTCAAAACACCCCCTGTTGAGGCCTCATTATCTCCTGAGATCCAATCACAGTCCCGTTCCAAGATTCCGGTCTTGAACTCGAAGTTGACGACCCCGGTTTTTTACGGCGCCGGTCACCTCATCTCGGGTGTAACTGACTGAAGAAAAAGCAGGCGTAGGGGGAGTCTTAAAGGAGGTTTCGAAAAAAGCCAATCTTTTTCACGAATAAGGTGACTCGATTGAAGATTCTCGGAATTTTCCAATTTCTGTGATAGCTGAGGCCTCAGTCCGGTGGGTCTTATCCCCATGTGATGAGGATTTTAATCATGTTTCGTCTGAAAAAGCATCTAATTTAATGTGCCTTAATATTGGTGATTATTCTGCATTATCAGTTTAATGTGTAAAATGACTTTTTGCCACGTCACAAAACCGGTGCCACATCAATTTACCGACATGCCATGTCAGCATCAGTTGACCGGAATCTTCCTTCGAGACATAATTGCAAAATTTTTGAAAGGTTGTGTATTGTTTTGCCAAATTGAGAAGGTGGAGTTTTATTTGCAATTTAAGCAAAGTTCAGGATTTTTCCTGCAATTAACCCAAAAAATAATATATATCAAACCCATTAACACCAATGATGGCATGACTATAAGCTCTTAAGTAGGTCTCCACAATTTAGCGGTTATGCACATACTAGTGTGGTTTTTTTCCACACAAAATAGCTAAGACTACATGTTTACATGGAGTGCCAGTAAGATCTCATGTTCTACAAGAGCATGATCCGTCAAGAACATCCACATTGTGTTGGTCAAAAGGTCCTGAAATTTGGAACCTCCACTCATCGAATTTCAAATGTTGAAAGTTGGATCTTGATCGTGCCAAACTCGTTTATCAGATGTTGAAAATTTGATTCCAACTTCAAATCAGTATGAAAAATGTGTACTATGCATAATAGCATCTTCTCTGGGGCTTGTTTGAAGGCCAAATCTACCTCGACTAAAGCTAGGAAACCAAGACATCCAACGAGAGATGAAAGAAAAAAAAAATAGCCACATCAAAAACATGGAGCCATTGATGTTGTAGATATCAAAAATCTAAAATTGTCAAATGAATGTTCTATATGTGAAATGGTCTTTTAGCAAATAAGTTAGTTTCCACATAAAACTATCACAATCAAGCATCAGTTGAAACACAACATCATTATGGTCATAAGCATCTAAGATATATATCTTCTCATGACCTCCACAGCAGCATTAGTGTAGAACCAGCAACCTCAACACCTCAAAAAGAACTTAATTGTTGATACCCTTCACACCCTTCAGGTACAGGTACAGAGCACAAGCCAGTGACCCAAAAATGGTAAATGCCCTATTAAGCTCATGCATGGCAATAAAATCAGAACCCAAAAAGAACGAACGAGAAAAAGCTACTTCCTGACTTGTTCGGGAACGCGTCATGTAAACAAAGAGGTAATATACCTAGAATAAATAAACAATCCTAAAAGATTCTAAAGTCCACTAAAAAACCTCATGGTAAGAAAACCGAAAGTGCGCATCTACCCCGATAAACAACATGAACTTGGCTCGAATCCCCCGAATAACTCTATCATTTGCATCTACCCCGATATACACTTCCTTGAGAAGTGCGACCCCCACACCCGTAGGTGGAGAGGGGAAGCCTGTCGGGATGGAGTTTGGAAGAGACGGCCATGCGAAAGTTGTGATCTCTTCTAGGTAAGACGGCGAGATAATGAGTCCGTCTTTAATCTTTACAATCACATTTTCCTCAATTCTTGAGGCAGATGGGTCAGAATCTGTCTCTTCGAGGCACTCATTCCTCAGAATCAATAGGGCTGCAAGATATTATACAAAAATAGATAATTAATAAAATAATTAAGTTAAAAAAAATGATAGCACTAACTGGGCATTTCAATCCCATTCTCCTTGTCCAATTTGATTGCTTTGTGGAAATACGCCCCCTTGGACGTACCTTGAGAGAATGTGTATCATATTCGTATATCCAGAACTCAGCGTTTTTTTCATCTTAGCATCGTAATCAACTGTTGGGTTACAAAACTTAGACAAATCCGACCATATCTAGAACTGCATGACATTGCACAATTTGATTCGATTTTCCAATTTCAACTCAGTTTGCATAGCTGGATCCGAATAACTCAAAATTTTATAAAAGGTCAATTTGATTGACCAAATTATAGCTATAAACCCACTTTTAAAAAGTCAATTTGATTGACCAGATTGTAGCTATAATGATTGCAAGTGGGTTTAGTTGGATCCTCTATGCCCCACATTTTCATTGAACTTTTAATTAAATAACTAAGCTCAAATGGAATTCATACACAAATTAAAGAAAAAACAAAAATGACAAATAAGTGAAACGTTGTCTCCCATTATCCATTAACATTCCTTCATTGAATTTTTAATTAAATAACTAAGTCCAAACGGAATTCCTACACATATTAAATAAAAAAAAAAAAAGAAAAAGAAGCGTTGTCTCCCATTATCCAACGACACTCCTCCAAACCTCACCTCAAGTCCTAACTGAAGGCAAAGCATTTCACGAAATCAAGCCACCAAAATGCTGAGTCAAATGATTGCAAGTGGGTTTAACAAGATATCCACTTCATAAGATTATTAGCTCCGAGCCTGTTGCAGATCTTCATAGCTTCATTGTCAGTGTAAGTAGTGTGTATGTTACAATTATAATTATTTTTTTATTATAAATGATTATTTGTAAAATAATAATTATAATTGTAACATACACACTACTTACACTGACAATGAAACTATAAAGATTTGCAACACGCTCGAAGTTGATAACATGAATCAAAGTGGTTATCTTGTTAAACCTACTTGTAATCATTTGGCTCAACATTTTGCTGGATTGATTTTGTAAGATGCTTCCGCCTTCAGGTAGGGTTTGAGGTTTAGAGGAATGTTGTTGGATAATGGTAGACAATGTTTCACTTATTTTTCTTTTTCTTTTTCTTTTTTATCTTTTATTTTGTGTAGGAATTTCGTTTTGGCTTAGTTATTTAATTAAAAGTACAATGAAATGAAAGAATGTTGTTGGATGATGGGAAACAGCGTTTCACTTATTTATCTTTTTCTTTTTTTATTTTTTATCTTTAATTTGTGTAGGAATTCCATTTGGGATTAGTTATTTAATTAAAAGTTCAATGAAAAAGTAGGGCATAGAGGCTTTAAACATGTAGCTATAATCTGGTCAATCAAGTTGACTTTTATAAAACTTTGAGTTATGTCGATCCAGCTATGCAAACTGAGCTGAAATTGGAAAATCGAATCAAATTGTGGAATGTCGTGCAATTCCGAATTTGTTTAAGTTCTGTGATCCAATAGCTGGTCACGATCCTAAGATGGAAAAAAACCATGACTTCTGAATATACGAGTATGATAAACATGCTCCCAAGGGTATGTCCAAGGGGGAATATTTCCACAAAGCAATCAAATTGAACAAGGAGATTGAGATTGAAATACCTAGTAAGTGCTATCTTTTATTTTTTAATTTAATCAGTTTATTACTTACCTATTTTTGTATAATATCTTGTAGCCCTACTGATTCCGAGAAATGAGTGCCTCGAAGAGACGGAGTTTGACCCATCCGCCTCAAGAATTGAGGAGAATGTGATTGTAAAGATTAAAGACGGACTCATTATCTCGCCCTCTTACCTATAAGAGATCACAGCTTGCGCATGGCCGTCTCCTCCAAAATCCATCCCGACAGGCTTCCCTCTCCACCTACAGGCGCACCTATAAGAGATCACAGCTTGCGCATGGCCGTCTCCTCCAAAATCCATCCCGACAGGCTTCCCTCTCCACCTACAGGCGCAGCGGTCGCACTTCTCAAGGAAGTGTGCATCAGGTACATGCAAATGACGGAGTCATTTGGGGGATTCGACCCAAGTTCAGGTTCTTGGATGGCGCACTTCCGATTTTCTTACTATGAGGTTTTTTAGTGGACTTTAGAATCTTTTCATGATTGTTTATCTATTCTAGGTATTAGCTCTTTGTTTACATGACGCGCTTATCTATTCTAGGTATTAGCTCTTTGTTTACATGGAGCGTGCGTTCCCGAACAAGTCGGGTGAGTGGCTTCTTCTTGTTCGTTCTTTTTTGGTTCTGATTTTGATTGTCATGAATGAGCTTAACAGAAGACATTCACCATTTTTGGGTCACTAGTTCGTGCCATGTATCTGTACCTGTACTCGAAGGGTGTGAAGAGTATCAACAACTAAGTTCCTTTTGAGGTGTTGAGGTTGTTGGTTCTACACTAATGCTGTTGTGGAGGTCATGAGAAGATATATATCTTAGATGTTTACGACTATGATGATTTTGTGTTTCAACTGATGCTTGAGACTGTGATAGTTTTATGTGGAAACCAACTTATTTGCTAAAAGACCATTTCACATATTGAACATTCATTTGGCAATTTTAGATTTTTGATATTTACAACATCAATGGTTCCATGTTGCTTGCGATGCGGCTATTTTTATTTTTTTTTCTTTCATCTCTCGTTGGATGTCTTGGGTTCTTGACTTTAGTCGGGGTAGATTTCGCCCTCAAACAACCCCCATAAAGAGGATGTTATTATGCATAGTACACAATATTCGTACTGATTTGAAGCTGGAACCATTTGTCTGCCCTTTGTTCCTTCTAGCCAGCAGAACGCGGACTTCTTTACTAAGGGCTTTTTAAGATCAAACTTTCAACATTTGATAAACGAGTTTGGCACATTTGACTAGGTTTGCTCACTCGATTTTAAAATCATTTAAAACTCATTTTAGGAATTTACAAGCTGATTTTGAAAATATTAATGTCTTTGAGGCAAACTAGAGTTTTCTAAAATATTTCTATGTTTGGACTATATTATGACTGGAATCTAATATGACTAGGTCTAATCTGACTGGATCGGAAAAACTGGATACTCGGTTCACGCTCAAACCGATGTTCTGAACTGAATTCTTGAACAGTCCGGACTGCCCAGACTGATTCGACTGAACTGAAATTCTCTTCGAACCGTCTGGACTGTCCGGATTGGTTCGACTGAGCTAGACCAATGGCTCACTCAGAGCCGGTCGATCATTCGCTTGACTATGTGCAGCTTGGCTTGACCGTGATTCGGGTTCGGCGTGGCAACTCGGGCCTGCACGAACACGGCTGACACGGCTTCGCCGACGCATGAACGTTGCCATGGTCACTGACGCAGGAGCGTGCCTGGACCACGACTAACAGAAACGGCGCGTTGACGGTATATCGAACGGACTCGGTGCACGGGCACGCACTCGATGGTTCAACTCAGACTCGGTGCACGGGCACGCATTCGGTGGTTCGGCTCCAACGATCGGATGAGGGTCGAACACGTGTGCAGGACATCGTAACGCATTAAGGATACGTGCTAAGGCACGTCGGTTGGAAAATTGCGAACGCTACGAGGCACACGGCCTCGATAGCCTTCTTAGGCTCGATTATAATCTCGTCAGCGACTAACCGACCGACTGACCACATCCCGACACTTAAGAACTCATTTATAATCTTATAACGTCTAAAATTATTTAAACGGAACTATGGTTCAATCAATAAATCTCATATCCAAAATTTACCAAGTTATCCGACCAGGATAAAACTAGAGTTCTCGATTCTCGAAAATTCTAACTCATTTTAAGCCGATATTTAAAACATAATTTCTATGTATTTAATAAGGATTTTACATCTAACAACTGCAGCTAAAATAACAACCGATCAATTTCTATAATTATCTCAAATTACGGCTACAGTCCCGATTTTTAATCTATATCAAACGACATCCAAAAATTCCAAAATTTTGACCACATACTACTCCGCATTCATATAATTTATGGGAATTTTATCCCAACAATATTCAGTCCTCAACTCAGTTAACTAAAAATCGAGCATTATCGTTCTAAACTCACAAATTACGTTCGCATTTATCGAGTTGGTATCATAATTTTCAGAGTTGGTATTATAATTTTCAGGTCAGGTCACTATTTATTACGAATTTTTTGCTATTTTAACTCAATAAAATCATATAAATTCATATCTTGCTCGAAAATTTCCAAACTCATTTTTATAATTAACTAAAATACTTGTCTAATGTCATGGAGAAGGATTTTCAGCTATTATACCTCCCGAGGGGTTCGAAACGAAAATTGGGACTCCGGAAAAGGCTAGGGAATAGATCGGCTACTTGGAACCGGGTCGGGTCGCGAGGTTCTGCTTGGATCTGTGGCTGGGGACCTCGGTTCAGCGCTGTCTCGAGCAGATCAGGACTGGAACTCGTTGGTAATGGAGCTGGCTTGACGGATCGGGGATGAGCTCGAGTTGTGGACGACCGGAAGGAGAATGTACTGATCTGCTCGCTGCCGAGACGTCACTGCCAGCGTGGAGAGGTGGTCTCCGGAGCTGGTCGACAGTGGCTGAGGGTTGCGACGAGCTGGCCGAAGTGAAGGTTGTCAGAGACGGGAAGGAGCTGGCCGAAGTGAAGGTTGTCAGAGACGGGAAGGAGCTGGCTGCGAGGTCCTCACCGGATCTGTTCGACAGAAACGAGCTGGTCGTGGTGGCTCGAGCTGGACGGCGGCAACCGGCGTGAAGAAGCTAGCTGCGAGGACTCGACTTGTGGACGTCGGTTCGCCGGGGACTCGCCGGAAAACGGACGGCTATAGCTGGTCGAAGGATGGCCGTCGGAGATGACGGCGGGGAGCTGCGAGGTGGAGGAGGAGGCGGCTAGGGGCTGTTACCGACGAAGCTGCTCGACGTGGTGGCCGGTGACTCGCCGGAAAAAGGCTGGGAAGAGGACGGCGGCGGCGTGGCTGGTGCGAAATGGTGTGAAGCTTGGTGCTCGCCGGAAATGGAATCGCCGGCGTGAAGGGACTGCAAGGACGCGGCTGATCTCGCCGGAAGTTTGCCGATGTGGAGGTCTCGCCGGAAAGTGGCCGGCCGAATCTTTTGGTGGAGATGGTGGGAGATGATGGATTTGGATGTGGTGGACTAGGGTTCATGGAGTGGAATGAATGATGATACTATTTATATAGAGGAGATGAGAGGAGAGTTGGGGTTTTATGGCCTTACTGGGCTCAACATTGGGCTTAAAATCGGGCTATTAAATTCAATTTAATTTGGGCTCGATTAAATCGAATATTGACTAAAGAATTAAATGTTCGGCTAAGAAAATTAATCGGACTTGGACTAAATAGATTAGTCGGTCGAATTAAATAATATTGGGCCAGGATTAAAAAATCGACTATAGGCTCGATTTTCAAGTGAACTAAAATTAAATCAAACATGAGCTCGAATTAATAAAATTGGCCAGAATAAAATCGAACATGGGCTCGTTTATGATATGGGTGGAGGCTCGGCTCGTCCGGGCTTCGACTCGACTTAATAAATAAAATTCTGATTATTCCAAGGCTCGGTTTTAACTTAAAAATAAAACTGATACTTGGCTAAATAAATCCGATTTTAATATTAAAAATTGAATAAATCCTCCATGGCTTAGACTTAATACTAATTACTCAATTTAATGCAAATAAAAATAATTAAATGCATCAAATAAGGAACTGCATATTTATGGAAATAAAATCGAGTTCTATAAATAGTAAAATATATTCGGGGCATTACATTATACATGTAGTTATAATCTGATCAATCAAGTTGACTTTTATAAAATTTTGAGTTATGCGGATCCAGCTATGCAAATCGAGCTGAAATTGGAAAATCGAATCAAATTATGCAATGTGGTGCAGTTCCGAATATGGCCGGCTTTGTCTAAGTTCTATGACCCAACAGTTGATCACGATGCTAAGATGGAAAAAATCGTTCAGTTCTGGATATACGAGTATGATAAACATGCTCCCAAGGATATGTCCAAGGGGACTATTTCAACTAAGTAATCAAATTGAACAGGGAAATTGAGAGTGAAAATGCCCAGTAAGTGTTATTTTTTTAATTTAATCATTTTATTAATTACCTATTTGTATAATATCTTGCAGCCCAGTAAGTGTTATAATTTTTTTAATTTAATCATTTTATTAATTACCTATTTGTATAATATCTTGCAGCCCTACTGATTCCGAGGAATGAGTGCCTCAAAGAGACGAATTTTGACCCATCTGACTCAAGAATTGAGGAGAATGTGATTGTAAAGATTAAAGACGAACTCCCCCTCTTACCTATAAGAGATCACAGCTTGCGCATGGCCGTATCCTCCAAATTCCATCCCGGCAGGCTTCCTCTCTCCACCTACGGGCGTGGCGGTCGCACTTCTCAAGGAAGTGTATATCGGGGTAGATGCCAATGACAGAGTCATTCGGAGGATCGACCCAAGTTCACGTTCTTAGATGGCGCACTTCCAATTTTCTTACCATGAGGTTTTTTAGTGGACTTTAGAATCTTTTCATGATTGTTTATCTATTCTATATATTAGCTCGTTGTTTACATGGCGCGTTTATCTATTCTAGATATTTGCTCTTTGTTTACATGGCGCGTTCCAAAACAAGTCAGGGAGTGGCTTCTTCTCGTTCGTTCTTTTCAGGTTCTGATTTTGATTGTCATGCGTGAGCTTAAGATAAGACATTCACCATTTTTGGGTCACTGGTTCGTGCCCTGTACCTGTACCTGAAGGGTGTGAAGGGTATCAACAACTAGTTCTTTTTAAGGTGTTGAGGTTGCTGGTTCTACACTAATGCTACTGTGGAGGTCATGAGAAGATATATATCTTAGATGCTTTTGACCATGATGATTTTGTGTTGCAACTGATGCTTGACTGTGATAGTTTTATGTAGAAATTAACTTATTTGCTAAAAGACCATTTCACAGATGGAACATTTATTTGGCAATTTTAGATTTTTGATATGTACAACACCAATGACTCCATGTTGCTTACGATGCCGCTATTTTTATTTTTTATTTTTTTATTTTTCTTTCATCTCTCGTTGGATGTCTTGGGTTCCTGGCTTTAGACGGGGTAGATTTAGCCCTCAAAAAAATCCCATAAAGAGGATACTATTATACATAGTACACATATATTCATACTGATTTGAAGCTGGAATCATTTGTCTGCCCTTTGTTCCTTCTAGCCAGCAGAACGCGGACTTCTTTACTAAGGGCTTTTCAAGATCAAACTTTCAACATTTGATAAACGAGTTTGGCACTCATTGAAATTTAGGAGAATGAGATAGCATACCATAATTGGGTGTGATTTCCAATTTGTCTTGATCTCTTCTCGCCATTTCACCCTCCGAATTTTACAAGCAACGAGCTTAACTCAAGTACAAAAATGTGTGGAAGGGTGCAAATGAAAATGAAACGAACCAAGAGTTCAAGCCTTTGAAATTAGCAGCCCTCAAAAAAAAATAAAAAAAAAATAAAAAAATGGAAGTATCACAAATTAAGGTTTTTTCTCTGAACTTGGGAGAAAGGTGTGAAAGAAATGAAAATGAAAGGGCATAGTTAGTTGATACCGTTAGTTACTAACATTTGTGGACGGCTGTGAACCAAATTGGGCATTAATCACAAACATGAGGTAGTTAAACTGGTCATGATTTAAGGTGGGGTGCTAAATTGAAAATACCATCTAACTTGAGGTACTGAAATTGGTAATAGCCCTAATTAGAAATAACTAGTGGCAATTTTTACGAAGAATTCATTGAAAGAATCAGACCCAATGCTCTTCTCAAACTTTGCTGAAAGAATTCATTGGAAAGAGACTTTTTTGTCCCGAAATTAGAATTTTCACATGCCCAATAATTGTTTCTCTACTACAAAACTTCCAAAATTACTACAGATACAAAACTCTAGGAAACTAGAATTGAGCGCGAGAGCTAATCTATGATTCGAGACCGGGTTTCCGATTTTTCATAGGAAAGATAGTGATTTGAGGGGGTTTGGTGGAGGAGTGAGTTATTACATCCTTAAGCTGCGCTATTGGGGTTGGTATTGCCTGATTCTCATGCATTCCGTCTGCATCTTCGCCTGGCAAAAGTAGTTTCAGCTCAAATACCCCTCTGCTGAACCCTCTAGCCACCTGTCATACCCATAGCATTTCATTCTTCATATAAATTATAAGAAGGGCCAAAACACCAAAACAAAACACTAGTACGAAAACGCTCTATCTAGTGACTGAGTTGCACAAAACTCACGATTTACTACTAAATTGCATACCTTTAGGAGGATCCAAACTTTAAGGGAACTGCTTAAAACTGCTAGCCTGGTCCTCCTTCCTGTGGTCATATACTTGCACATGTCTCCATTAACCCTAAGAACAAACCGTGGCCAAGTTTTGGGGTTCTCTGGCTCCGCTTTCTGCTCTGTGGTTGCCTGAACAAATTGAAAGACCGGAAAATAGTAAAAAAAAAAAAAACAGTTTATGATTGACATACAGCATCGTGGATGAAATTTCAGACAGAACTGATAGGAGAGGGAAAAGTAAGTCCTAAAATATAAAAGATTAGCAACTTTATGAAGTCATATGATTACGGCATGAGTGTGTATGAGTGTGCACTCTTCAATAAAAAAACTCACCAAAAGTCGACAGATTTCATGTTCGATTTTCGAAAATGAAGTGTCCAATGCTTCCACTCTTCCAGTTGCATGGCAGTAGGTGCATGGTTCACTAATCATAAATGAAACACTAGGGCGAACCTGTTGAGTGCAATCATGGGAAATTTATTATTAGCAATTAAGCAAGTGCATGCATGTAAAGATCCCATATGAAGCTTCAGTTCTATATGAGGTGAGCCACATCTGACTTTTATCATTGTAAAAAGCTGTTGCACGCCATGCGAGGACAGTTGCAATTATTGTTTTTATTCTCTACCACCATAGAACCTAATATGAAGAGTGAAGTTGAAAATGGGATGGTTAAACTACCTTGTTTGGTTCAAATGCCAACAAGAAAATTCTAAAAAGAGGAAAGCAGCTTGTTATTTTAAGAATTAAGAAACGTTAAGGGGTGATTGGAAGTGAATTGTTTTGGTTTTGATTTGAATAATTGGATAAAGTGAGTTAATTTTCAATAAAGTTGATTGAGTGGGATTTTGGGTTTGTATTTAAATAATTAAATATAATAATTAAAGTTTATTTGATGTAAAAGTAGGAGATAGCTGATTGGAAATTATGAGTAGTTAAAAATATGTAAGTGGATGAATAGTAAATGTTGTTGATGTGATGTGTGATTATTGATTGATATTATTCAACTATATTGATAAAAAATAAGAGAGTTAAGTTGAATTAAAGTTGAGTTGAATATTGAATTAAAAAAGTGAAAAAAATTTATTCGGTCAGTCAAAACCAGTTTTTACTCATTTCCAGTCGCCCCCTAAAAGTGTGATAATGCATATGACAAAGAGTGGAAGTTCATCTACTAACATGTTTATAAAACATCAAGAAACCTCATCTATCTATCCACCATACAATACATACAATACAACTATCTTAAAAGGGTGAATATTTCTGTAAAACTGTATAGACTAAAATACCCTCTCTTTCAAATATTAATATCGGTAGTTATAAGAAGATTTAATGGCGAAATTCTTGGATTAAATAGTTGTGTTAATTTCACAACTATTTACTCTTTTCCATTCTCTTCTCAATAGTTTCATTATAGATAAATAAAGAAATTCAAATATTTATTGGGCATGCATCTTCAAAATGTATGCAATGATCAACATAGGTTTATTAGTCACTTTATGAGAATGTGGAATTGAAAAAGAAAATAAGTATATATGATGGAAGTGTTTATGGTAAGAACCTTTGTTATAAACCTCTATTCATGTTTGAAACTTGAGTTTGAATGTCAATCTGGAGAAAGACGGAACATGGGATGAGGACTTTGGGGTTGAAAGCATAAGTTTTTGGACGATTAAGTTCCAAATGAAAATTTGAAACTTGATGATTGTTTCACAAAATATTTGTGATAGACATTAGTTTTTGTGTAAATGTTGTCTTCACTATTCTTAAAAGGGACATTTTTATGCTTATAATTATAAAAAGCATTTTTCCTCCATAGTCTTTTTCCCTAAGCATATGCGTTTGTGTATATTGCATCCTTAGCATGTCTCACTTAAAATTATTCTTAATGAATGTATGCAGAATATCTTTGATCAAATTAAAGAAATCATATTGTCCATGTGCATCGCACGTGCACCTTACTAGTATAAAAAATTTACTCATAAACTATATTAACATACCCTCTTCCGAGTTATTTCCATAATCCCGTTCCTGGATAGTTCACAAACATCAACTTTCGACCGGTCCCTCTTGACGGCCTTTTTGACTTCTTGATAAACCTTCCTTCTATTTGCTGCAATGAAAAAAAAAAATGCTTAAAGATGACAAAATGATATTACATACAAGTACATTTTTCCATTTAGGTCATTCATTTCACTCAAATGCTTCTTCATGTACCTCTGATCTCTAAATAAGTGCCTATTTCTAAGGTGGAGCTTGCGAAGGTTTCTTCATGCAAAGATTGGACTAGGAGTTGAAGAAAAGGGAGTTAGAAAGGAAAAGGAGCAATTTTAAACACAGTGCTCAATGGATTCATAAGTAACTGTTGCCTTCGATAGTGAATATGGTTGTCACTTGATATTTTAATTCATAATGTCTACAGCCAATCTTCATTTCTGGAAGAACACTCAAACAAGCACCAAATTCATATTTTTCTCACAGTTTTTTTGTATCTTCTGGTCATCGTCTTTGTACATGGCCAATCACTGATCATGAAAATATTCAGCAGCAAGAAAGTATATTGAGCAAGCTGATCGAACTAGCAAGAGGTAATCAACCTTTTACTTACCATCATATCTCATATCAATGAAATCTACCACAATTATTCCACCAATATCTCTCAGCCGTAATTCTCTGGCAATCTGCAACCAAGAAAGAGGTCATGTGAATCAATTTATAGAATAACACCATCATATTTTTCTCTGGAGAATGGAACCAGTCATAGTTAATTTTCCTAAAAGGAATAAAAAAGATTAGTCTAATAATTCACTTGTGATAAATGCGGCAAACAGAAACTTATTGAAGATAACAGTAAATAATATAAAGAAACAAGTAACAGTCTATAAGGTGAATGTCCTGCTGAAGCACTTTTGGTCTTTTTGACACTCAATAAAATATAGCAATATAATGATTACATCCTTCTCTCTTTAACAATCTGCCGTTTCATAATCGGAACTCAATATAGCAACTCTTCCAAAAATATCAGTACTTATATAGCATTACTATCATTTGATAGAGAAATCAAATAGGGCTACATTTTTTTTCCTCTTTTGTTTCAAGAAATGCATGTAATAAATGGTATTCCTTATTGATAAATGTCCACCAAAACCATGTAGGCTATTTCCTAGCTATTATGCAATCACATCCTAATGTTCCACAAAACTCATCCATGTTTTCAATGTATGGAACCAATTTTTTTCTAGAACTACACATACATTGTTAAGATCCATCCAGGATACTCATGCACTGAAACTGAATAAAAATCAATAATTCAAAGGTATCAAGCATATATGTTTGGAGTGCCACACATAAAGGTCCATTTACAAACTATATATGACGTAGAACAAGGCCAGAAAAATGCATGGAAAATACTTGCTTAGCCGCAGCAAGGTTCACTTTAAGAACCGCTTTCTCTTGTGAAGTCCCTTGACCTAGCACACCTTGACCCCCATTTACATCAATGGACACCAGGGCCTCCGTTTGTTCAATCACTAGATAACCACCATTAGCCAGACGAACCCTAGAGGAAAAATATCAACTCTTGTCAGGCAGAAATAATATGAATTGCAATTGGAGACCATGCCAAATGACCAAAAAATACCCTTTATATGGAGATTGGAGATCAAAGAACTGAGTGTGCAGAAAGTTACGTTCTTGCCATTTTTATGTAATTTTTTATATTAAGCTTGAGAGATGCAGAAAGTTGAGAGAAGTTCGTGAGGTGAGAGAGAAGAGAGGGGATTTGAGAGGGAAAATATTATGTTTTGTGATATTTTTCTTGTTACATTTTTTGGTACCCTCCACTTACTTATAGATACCTATTACAAAGTACTAACCATTAACCGACTCACCATGATAAAAGGCCCAATCCCATTTCCTACTATCACATGACTAAAGGCCCAAATCCATTTCATACTATAATAAAAACTAATACAAAATAAGTAGCTAAATACTAATATAATATGACTTCTTAATAACCCATTCTCCATATATTGGGTACATGACATGATGACAATTGAAAAGGTGAAGAACATTCTGCTGACCTTTTACTCAGAATATTATTGATTTCTTCCTCAATGTTGTACTCATCAAAAATTGGAGTCCTTTTGCTATATAACTCAACTCTTTCACAAAGATTGGGATCTATGTCCTGAAGATAGTTGGTAACCTGATACATAACATGAAAAAAGTTAACTTGTATTTAGAAGTCAAAACAGTTAAATGTCACAAAATCAGATTTAGTATTCAAGAAAAGGAAAAATCTATGGACACTAGTAATACTTTCAGATTCTCAGGTAGAAATCTAATACAGCCATCCTTCTCCTTTTCCTATAAATGATTGTTTACCGGAACACGATTTAATCATCCTTTCAGATAACAAGCTAACTAGGTAGTCACTAAACGGTCCATATAAATGCCTTGTAGATCCTTAAATTAACTCTAACTGCGCACCAAAATTGTTACATAAATCCTTTCCACTAACATTTTGACAGTTATATCCTTAACTTTTGATGACAAGCTGAGTTGCCAATTAATTTTCTGTCTTTTTCTTACTAAATTCACATGATAGGAAGTAACTAATATCTAAAAATGAAGGCTAGACAATGCAAATCTCTGCCGCCCCTTGATGCAATAAAATAAAAGATTTAGCTTAGTTAAATGACCATAAGATGGTTTGCTCTTACTACACCAAATAATAAACATAAAATGAAAACAAAGGAACATGTTAGTAATTTGTCTCAGTAGTTTGACTTAGTCTTTTATTGTTGAGTATTTGAATAAGTCTTTTATCTTATCTTTTAGTAGTTGCTGATTTTCAGGATTCAGTTCAGATTATTTAGATTAGTTGGAGTCATGCTTATTTCCTTTGTTTTCCTCTATAAATATTCGGTATGAATAAGAAGTAAAACATGCTTCCAAGTCCATATATTTCTGAGTTATCTTTTGTCTGTTCCAAGTTTTCATATTGTTCTTTTCAGTTTTAAGCCTTTATATCAGTTTTTATACTACAGAACAAAAAGGAAAGGAAGAATCCTAAGATCTGATGCATGTTTATGTCCTAAAATAAAAGAGTAATACGACTCTACTTACAGTGAAAATTAGTAAATCTAGACTCTACTTACAGTGAAAATTAGTAAATCTAAATAAAAGGTTAAAAAAAAGGCATACAATCCAGAACAAGAACTACTTCATTTTAACTTTGCCTGTAAGGTACTGGCTCACATACCTCATGATAAGTCCGTGGAGAATCCACCACCATGCTCTTCACCTGAAAATAGCCAAAAAAGCAGCTTGGTCCATGATTTATATTTCGATTAACATTGAAATACTGCAGAAGATGTACTCAACATAGAAGACGAATATTGCATTACTTGAAGAATCTATTGACAGTCACCTTCTTATTAAAAATATCTCGGACAACAGAGAGTGTTTGGCCCATTGCCTTGTGCAACATAACAGGAACAGCACCATCAATACCTTCATCGGCAGCAAGAGTCGCAGATATTGCATGGTCCACTATATTTTTCCACGTTGATAATAGACCTTCCAAATCTTTTTGCAATTCCTCTAATGAATGACCATAAGCAGCTGTCCTTACAGTGAGACCAAATCCAGGAGGCCGCAAGGTTTCTGCTAAAGTCCGTAATCTTTTTCGCTCAGCACCAGAGATTTTCTTAGAAACTCCAATTTTCTTGACGCAAGTGCTCAGTACCTGGAGCAACAAGGACAGGCCACTAAAATTTATATATGGACTAGATTCAAAAATAGATTAAAAAAAAAAATATCAGGGATCACAGAAAGAAAGAAATTTATGAAAAGAATAACAGATACCCAGAATCTGCTACTCAGTTTTGGATAAGCAGTCAGTGTGGGGCTTTTTGTACCCAATCCTTCTTTAATAACTTGTACAATGATCTTAGAGCCCTTTTTAACTTTAGCCCACTTAGTTTTTTTGGTGCTTAAAACCTCACTGTTTGCATCCAGGTCTCCAGTTCTAGCCCCCAGCTGCTCCACATCCCCATTAAGCTGCTCCAAATCCCCATTAAGCTGCTCCAAGGACTTCTGTGTATCAACCTCACTTCCATGTCTAACAACACCACCATTAACACTTTCCTTGATAGTGTCCAAAACATCATCACAATGAAAATGGTTCTCCTCACCTTCAAACTCGTCTTCACTTTGGTCACACTCCACCTCGTCTGATTCTTCAACTCCACTGAAGAAGGCTCCAGTTTGGGGAAAATCCACCTCCACTCCAGATTTATCAAACATGGGGGCACGTACCTCTCTTTCCTTCATGGGACTATGAGAGAAAGGTAATATAAATGGTTTCCTATAGAACTTTATATCCATGAAACATGCCCTTGGGCTGCCAATATTTACAAATGCACCTCCCATGTTTGGAGCTAGCTGAGTTACAACTCCTAAATAAACATTACCACACTGCACTTTGGTTTCTACAGGCTCCAATAACAGTTCGACCAGTTGATCATTTTCTAGAACGGCAATCCTTTGAACGGTACATACAGAAGAATTTATCAATATAACAGTGGAAACAGAGTCCTTTGACGTCATGTTGCTTTTTCTCTCATGCAGCAGGTTCTCAGGTATGGACTTTTGCTGCTCATCAAATACTGACAGGGTGACCTTATCTTCACTAGACTCATTACTGAAGGCACTCGAAACTATCTCTGTTCCAGAAGTAACTGCAAAGGAATCAAATATCCAAGGCTCCTCGACAAGATAATTCATTAAAAATGTATTTTCTGATTCAGAACTGTTACTTCCTTTCTCATCATAATCCAACTTATGGCTGAAATCCTCACTAAGACTGGATTGATTTAAGAGTTCTGACTTCTGCATACCATTATCAATAACAGTATAACTATTTACAGCCCGCTGCATGCCAATGGATGGCTGTGATAGCCAAGGCTCCTCTATAAGTTGCTCCTGAGTGGAAAAAGCTTCACCCAAATGTGATTTCTTCCTAGCATTACGAACACCACAGAAGAACTTGGAAGCCAAAGAACCACTCGGATGGCTTTTGACAGTCTCCCGTTCATCTGCAAAACCACTGGAAGCATTTAAGTGTTCAGAGACACATTGAAGTATAATTTTGCACAAACAGATAACAAGAAATACGAGCCATACCTCTTAGCAAAGGTGGAATAAATAACCTATAATCTCTGTTATCCATCAATGATTGATATAGGTGTGCAACCTGTCTTCTTCTATCATGAGACCTAAGCTTTGTTGTCCGTTTCTTATATCTTTGGCTTGGGGAATGTGCTGGCATAAGAAATTGAACTCCAGGTCTCCACAATATATCAGATGATGTCAACATGTCTTCCTTCATAAAACAGTTACACTTGATTCCTCTAGTGATTTCGCCTATCCATAAAAAGGATGGAAAAAAAATATCATAAGAAAATGTAAACTGAGATGGAGAATAATTTTTTGTCTTCTTTTTCCATACATTGTGAATAGCACTTTTACGCATCTCAATAATATTATCAAGCATATTAACACCACCCCAACAACAATGAAAGAAAACGTAAAAAAGGAACCAAAAAAACAAAAACTAGAAATATGATTGCATCCTCATTTTAAGAACTACAATATCTCCTTCAACTTCTTCTTCTTCTTCTTCCTCTTTTTTCTTTTCCTTTGGGGGCACACACATTCCAAAAATAAAAAGCAATCTTTACCCAGAAAAGAAGAACTTGCAAGAACGGAAAAATGACAAAATTGTAATAATTGCGAGACGCTAAAACAATATGGAAACAGTTCACCGTCGAAATCTTACTCCAACATCCATTCATACAGATACAAGAGCTGAGATTTGAGCGGCCAAAAATGCAAATAAAAGATAATTATTTGGGACGATGAGCAAAACTTGTGTATGCGCGTTGCCGGACGAGCTGCAATTTCAGGGGTTCTATTTTCTGCTATCCTCGGCAATTCAATCCGTTTTTATCTTCTTTCAAATGTTCGAAGAACAATATTAAAAATGGCATTGTGACCCATCTACATTCATAATTTCACAACCCACTCCATGAGAACTTGGTAATTAGTCAAATTAGAGGTTTGTGGTTAAATAAAACTAACACTCACTCTTAACTAGAAACTAGTATGTGTACCCCGTGCGATGCACGAGACAAAGATATTAAATGTTTTATTTTCACAGCCTTATCCGTTTAATTTTAAAAAATAATAGGATTATTATATAGTTTCTATCTCTTTTAATCAACGTTTAAGTCTAACAAACAATAGGGGGTTATTATAAGTTTTTTTTCACATCTTTTAACCAGCGTTGTTTTTTTAGCCAGAACATTAAATATGAGCATGTTAGGGCTAGCTTGTAAAATAATTAATATATTATCTCACTAAAACATTTATACTAATAAAAATTTAATTTTAGCATATAAATTTATCTATTGATATAAGAGAAAGTAACAGTTTTACTTATTGTTGTTCACCATATAATATTTAATTATTGTTTTATTATATAATTAAAAAAGAATACTGTTATATAGTGTAGTAGAATTGTTATAAAATTATATGATTTTTTTTTTTACAATATAGATTTAATATTTTTTTATAATTTGATAATATAAACAAATTTATATTTATCTTTGACAATTAAAACAAATAAATACTTTAGTAAGTATTTAATGTATATACTAAATAGAAATATATTTGGTATAATCAAATACCAAATATAATCAAATAAGTTAAAGTGTACATTTTTATTTGGTATTTGATTTTTTTATTATTAAAATCTTTTTATTATACTTACCTTTTTAAAATAAAACAAATAAATAAATCAATTAAATAAAATATTATAATACCGAAATAGTAATGCATTTAATGCAGTTGACTTTTCTGGATACTAAATGTAGTAAATAAGATCCCCTTTTATATAAGTATAGATGTCAATTCGATTATATTAAAATAAATAAATTTTAAATTTTAATAATATAAAAAAATGAATTTTTATAGTTTATGAAAATGTCATTTTTATTTTTTAGACGACATTGAATGTTTATCAGTTATAAGACTTGTTTCTTTGTATAACAATATTTTTTTACTAATTATTCTTATAAATTTCATTTGTAACTAGTCATGACCAAAACTTTCAGTTACCGGAATATTACTTATTAAGTATTTAAGTTCATATATCATATAACACACAACCTAAAAACATGATTCATGATAGCTAAAAAAAAATCTTACATAACATATCCCCCTGTCCCCTATATATTAATTCAAAATGTACTAAATTTAAGTGGCAAGCTCGCACGCTTTGAAATTTTACATGTCACAATATCATGCTTTATATTTAGGTTCAGATAAAAAATTTGGAACAAAACTGGCTTGAAAAGTGTCATAATTAAATTTTCCATCATAAATAATCAACAAAACTGACTTGGAAAGTACCATTTCACAAGATTCTTAAAATCGGACGATCATCGAACCAGTCAAACTATTGTTCAGTGATTCACTGGTCCGACCAATGGTCGAATCGGTTTTAAATATGTAATATATAATATAATAAAAGTTATATATAAAAACTTTGTTAATTAAATACGTAGACAATTTAAAACATTCGAATACTTAAATTAACTAATAACTAACTTATATATATATATCCATTATATTTAAACATATATTTTTATTTATACTAAAAATATTTTTAAATTTGTGCTTTTTTAATTAGCACACCAAAGTCTCCGCTCAAACTCGGCTAGTGTAAGCTTGTGAAAACACAGCTTGGCTTGATTTGTTTAAACAATTCCAAATTGCAAACACGTACTACTCATCCGCGGCGCGAACAAGTTTTGCTCGTCTGCTTCATTTAATAAATGTAAAATGAAGAGTTATTCTTAGCTTGAGTCATTTAATAAACGAGTTCGATTAATTGCTCAAATTCGGCTCATTCGAGCTCAACTTTTTACAAGAAGAACGAGTTGTGTTCGTAAATAACTCGATTTGAATAATAGCTCTAGCTCTTACTATAATAACCGCGAAACTTATCATCCCATACTCCCATGTCATAATTCCAGCTGCTGAATTCTATCAACACAAAACACCACAGATTTTTGTTGCACCACCTATGGCCATCACAATCTTTGGAACCGAGACACGAAGTTCACAGGCACTGGCAGAAAATGCAGAAAGAACAATGCCACTAATGCCGCAATCAAGATTCTGCTTCCTATACAGTATTTAAGATAATTAAATATGATTCAGAAAGAAAAGAGTGGATTATCTTTCAAAATTGTTTCACGGGTAAAGAGGGCTATAATCCTTCGGGGGATTTTTTATAAAAGTGAAAGAAAACCGAGCATTCTTTTAATAAATAACTAAAAACTTGAGTAATTCTTGCGACTGTTATTAAATCTGAATTTGATATGTTTTTTAGAGGTGAGGCAGAAGGAAAGACAGGCAGCCAAGGGACCTCAGAAAAGGTTAAAGAGGCAGACATAAAGCGCTCGGATGGGAGTAAAGAAGATGCTTTCAGGTACAACCAAAGCTGCACCGCATCAGGAAGCCAAACCCTAACAAAGAAAATATGATTTGGCATTTATATCAACTGCTCGACAAAATATAGCTGCAAAACATTGTTTTTGTATCTTTCATAAGTGCAAGCAAGCTTTTTCTTCGCGACTCTCACTCGATTACCTGATATTTTCAGAGATGGATGTGGGTTGAGGAGAAATCTCAGCAGACAGGTTCGCATAACCTATATAATTAACAAAATGCAGTTGTTTTACCCGCGTATTATCCTCTGGTAGCAGTATTGCTACACTTACTCAACTTGAGTTCAAGATATAAATAATAAACATAGAAGGTGCTGAGAAAATGGAGAATAGTTTGCCAATAATAAATAACAGAAGCACAACATTCAATCAAATCCATCTGAGAGTCAAATGGTGAACCAAAATAACGAATTTTGTAACAACAACTCTTATTTGCATTAGTTGCATCGCTTTTGCAGTAGCTCTTGCCCAGCGATTAATATTCGAGTATCCAACAGGGTACTAACATGTAATAAAAGAAAAAGATTGCAACAAACAAACTTAAGGCTTCTAATGCTTCTCCCACAAAGTCGAGCACCACTGCGCCTACTAGCGGAGAGCTGCAATCAAGAGATGATAAAGCATTACTTTACACCATTATTCCTGCCTAGAAAAAAATAAAAAAAAAAAAAAAAAATTATGACTTTGAATTGGTAGATAATTACAAATGGTATAACTATAACTACCACACCAAAGTAAGTCATACTTCTCCGGTAAATATAATCCGGTATATGAGCAATTTTCCCAATAAAATAGCTCTCAAGATAATAGCATCCACAACTCAACTTATCATAATAATAGTACCCTAAAGATACAGTTAGGGAGTTTTCAGACATTTCAAGAAACATGAATCTGAAAAACAGCAAGAACCGGCATCATATGGACCCCACCTTGCTGACAGTTCAAGTGTTCTGTTTATATCAATTTTTTTTCATGATTTCCAAAATAACAAACTCATTAGAAGAAACCAGTTTCACAAGCAGAAAATTTGCACAGCTAATGGTGTACACAGCTTGATAAAGTGGACAAATAATAGTAACATCAAAAGTTTAATACTCAGAGAAGCTCATCGTGAGAGTTCCATCACAATGCAAATGCCATTACATCATTCAACTAAACCATGATTCTCAATATTGATGGTGCAATAGTTTCCGTTGGGGATCAAATATTTTATCACAAATATGATATGGTATGTCTCCTCAGAATATGCTGCACTTCATATCTTGCGTCTTTAACTAACACTGGTTCAGAAAAACTCTAAGCCCGTCTATGAAGACTGACATATGAATATGCGTTTCCATCAATTTGTAGACATGTCAGGTCTATTCCCTTTGTTGACGAGACACATCACAGTAGGTCATGCAGAAAACAAATAGTCACATGGAAAAACAATACCCAAGTTCTAATACAACTTTCGACAAATATCCCAATTTTATGATGATCTACTTCCCAACATAAAATGTTACCCACTCATCCTGCTACAAGATTTTGATGGTTGAAACAGAAGTTAAGTTCTAGTAAAAGGTGTATTTTAAACTCTGATATGTTTACGTTAATCAACGATCATGGTAGGCCGAGTTAATTGGGAAGGATAAATATTCCCTTCACATCGTTCTTGACTCACCATCCATAATGTTCAAGAGCTACATATAAGTTATACATCCAATAATACTCCTATATATTTGATATATTTCCGGATATCCTGAGATTTCACAAAACAAAAATCCACTCGGCCAACTTATTGAGTTACTACAACCAATAAAAGTGAGAATACAGAAGCCCGCACAACTGTATCCCCACACAAACTCATCACAAATCACGAAAAATCACGAACCCATAGGTTTGCAGCAACTTTCATTGTATATGAATCCTTATTCCCCAGATTTATATACCCATTATACAGGAGATACGACAGCCGAATTCCAGCGACTGCAAAACTAATGAGTGGATGAATAGCATAAAACTCACAGTTACAAAAATATGGTTAATCAACAATCTATTTGACAAAATTAATAAAAAAAATTCAAAAATCAAATAAAGGGGGGTACTTGCAATACAAACAGAGGCAGAGAAATTTCATAGGAGAGAACAAATCAAATCACAGAAAAACAAAAGGCGAAAAAGACCTTATACAAAAGCAGCAGATCAATGGCCGCCGTGTTCTTTGGCGTGCAGCTGGTGCTCAAGGTGGCGGCGCTCCTCGGGGAGGGCGACGAGGTACGAGAAGATCATCCCTCCGAAACAGATGTGGTAGAGAGGAACGACGGAGCTGGTCTCGATGTATTTGGCGTGATAATTGTCGAGCCCACGCTGCAGGGAGTTCTTGACGTAATCAACGGTGAACCTGGGCTTGAGATACGCCGGCAGCTCCTTCACCTTCATCCCCTTGATCTCATTGTAGAAGGTCCTCAACGCCATTTCTCAATTGTTCACTCAGACCCACACACACACTCTCTCTCTAGCTCGATCGACAAATGGGAATTTAGATCTCGAACCCTAGTCTGATTGACTGTTGTGGCTTTGTTTTGCTTTTCGCATTTTAAGTTGGCATTGATATCTATCTATATATAAAAAAGAGGTTGTTGGATAAATCTTTTTTGAAAATTTTTGACCAAATAAATAATACATTTGATATTCTATTTATAGAAAGTTTGAAAACAATAATTGTGTAGTTTATTATTAATGGAAAAATCATAATTTGATATCAAAATTAATAGTGTAGAGATAATATTGGAACAATAATATTTGGATAACTCGAAAATCTAATCACTTAAGAGTAATCATATTTGAATTCAACGTAGCTTATTTGTTCAAAACGTCCAAAATATGTCCACATCTTAACTAATTAATTTATTATCTATATCTATATATATAATAAGAATTACTATTTATGTCAGAATTTAATGCAGCTTATAAATAGTAAGTTTTATTATTTTTCTTATTTTTTTTCTTTAAAAATCATACAACATTAAATTCTACCTTAAATTTTGGGTTTTAGTTCATTTTATTATTTAAAAAATCCGACTACGATTTATTAAGATTTATTAAGTGTGTATGTTTTTATTTTTATTTTTTTCTTAGAAATAACGAACAACATTAAAATCTCGGACTCTATATTTATAAAATCTCAATTCAAAATATAACAAAACTTTTGGAATCTCGGTCTTTATATTTTTGCCTTTAAAAAATATATTGAACGCTAAAAATATTCTTAAATTGCATAATTAATCAATTAATCTTAATCTTTTAAAAGTTACTATGTTTATTTTTTTATTAATATGCATAAAATAAAAATAATTAATTCATCTTTAGATATATAATTTATAATCTTAATACAATATCATTTGGTGTAGACATTTATTATCTGAATCAAAAAATATTTTTATTTCATAAAATTAAATATATTTAAAGAAAATAAGAAGATTTCTTCGGATCAATTGGGTGATTGAATTAGGGTACTGCCCAGGTTGATTGAATTACTTTTAGGTGATATTTAAGATAGTAAAAAAAATTGACACAACATGGTTGATCCCAGGTGACTTAGTTATGTATCAGTTCAACCACACCAAATCGATTATTGAACCTAAATATAAATTTTATATTGAAAATATTTTATTACGGAATGTGATGTAGTCCAAACTTCAAATAATCGTATTAAGAATACTTTTATGACAACATGTTTAATGATTTATAAATACTTATATATCATTTTATTAATATTTATGTGAATTAAATAATATTTTATTATAATATTTATTAATGTACAGTAAATATAAGGTTTTTAGAACTGGACCATCATCAAAACGATCAAGCTATTTTATTAAATCATTTGTAATTTGTTCAGATTTTAATTTATAAACATTTTAATAGATATATATATATATAGTACTTTTTGTAACAAATTTAAATAAAATGTGTTGTTGACGGACGTTTCCGGTCAACAGTTAAAAAGATAAATAATGAAGAAGTGATGAGGAAAAGACAAAGAAATACGATTTAATTATGATTTTATTAACTGATCACGAGGTCGGCCTCTCGTACGAGGTCGGCACTTGCGATATACTTTCGAATTCTTACACAAATTCCTTACAAGTCTAGAGAGAGAAAATATAGAGAGTGAAAACAGTTGGGTTTCAACAACCCAAAATAAATGCTCAAGACTTCTATTTATAGGGTTCTTAAATTTGATACTGTTAGGGTACTGTTTGTGGGTCTTGTCGTACAGTAACTCGGCAAGATAGACCGGCGTTTCTCTGACTGATTGGGAGTGATTTCGGGATCTCCCAATCATTACTTGCAACGCATTTAATGTTGGTATGGGCTGCATTTAATGCGGACATGCTCCTCGGCCGAGCTAGACGTCCTAGACCTGCAGGCTAGTCTGAGATGTCCCATCGGCAATCATTGATTGACAAGTGGCCTTATTTGATGGTTTCCTAGATCTTTAACCCCTACGAGGGCCGAGGAGGTAGGGTCCCGACCCGGGCTTTGACAGTCTGCCCGTCCTCCGACCTTCCAGACCCCATATCCTGATCCGGTCAGCTCCATAACGGGAGCGCCGGTGTGCCGACCTCGGGGTATGACGTTGTCTGCCACTCCAGTTGACTTTGACTAATCCTCAGATCGGCACCTGCTAATTGACGTGGTAACCAGCCCCACTGGCCGGGCCGGCCTCGCCCGGTTTCCGGTCTCTCGGATCGTTACCTTTATGGGAGCTCGATCTGGATATCAACATATGTTACTTAGATATCTAAACAATTTATAAATTCAAATATTTAAACTAATTGATAAATAATTTATAAATCTTTATTTTAAAAAAATATTTAATTTTATTTAAAATAATTTTAAATATAACAAAATTTATTTAGAAAATCGTGTCGATCCTACCAGTCCAATCGACTGGTATTGACAGATTCGAGAGCAAATATTTTATTCGAGCGAATTACACTAGTTATAAACCGGTTCTCGGTCCATCCGGTCGGACTGTGTCCAACCCGGTTTAATTTAAAAACAATGGATAAATCATGATTAATGTTATTTATATATTTAATTTATAATACAATCGTAATATTGTTTTCCCGTGCATCGCACGGGCCACGCACTAGTTGTACATAACACTCACATTAAATTAGTCCTACCAAAAATAAAAAGAGAAATGTTATACATAGGGATATACATAATACTTACATTGAGTGGAACTCACTAAAAATAAAAAATCAAGTGGACCCATTAAAAATAAAAAATTCAGTGGACTCCACCCACCTGGAGTGTTATGTACATCTCTATGTACATTTATTATGTACCTGTATCATTTTCTAAATAAAAAATCAAGTGGACTCCACTTCATGTAAGTGTTATGTACATCTATATGTACATTTATTATGTACTTGACAACTTGTAGCATTTTTTTATTATATAAAAATAAATAAATAAATAAGGAGAAATGCTATAGATACATAATACAGTAATATTGTACATAGAGGTGTACATAAACTCACATTAAGTGGGTCCTACTAAAAATAAAAAGGAAATACTACATGTACATAATAAATGTACATAGAGGTGTACATAACACTCACATGTGGGGTCCACTTAATTTTTTATTTTTGGTAGGTCCTACTGTGAGTGTTATGTACACCCCTATGTAATATTATGTACATATAGCATTTTCCAATTAAAAAATTAAATGGACCTCACTCCATGTAAATGTTATGTACACCTCTATGTACATTTATTATGTACTTATAGCATTTTCATAAATAAGAGATAAAAAGTGGAAATTTTGAATTGATAATATTTAATAGTTACAAATATCTAAAATATGTAAGGGGATTAATAGCATTTTTATTGAATGATATATAATAATAATTTTTTATTTTTAATCATGTAAGTGATTTATAGAGAAGAGTGAAATGATAAGAATCATAACTTCTTGTGGATTTTTTTTTTTCTATGTTTCAAAATAAATTCGAACTGCACAAACAAAATGATTTTTTTTAGCCTAAGCTTCAAAAGTAAATTTGTTATGTTTATGTTAACATGATTAATAACTAAATATGTTGAGTGCGATGGATGAAGGAGGTAAAATCAATAATGTCATTTCAAAATGGATAGGAATTATTGTAAATATTCTAATTATGAATTTTTACGGTTAGGTCATCTCTAACCGAAAAAATCATTCTCAATCTCATTTTACAGTAACTGTCACATTTTGCAGTAATTCATCTCTACTCGAAAAAACTCATTCTCTAACTCAGAATAATATTATTGGAATATTCTCTTTTACACCAACTTTTACAACTGTTCAATACTACCCACATATTTTACAACTTTACAAATTTAACCACACTATTATTTTAAATTCATATTGGAGTTTATGTAATAAAATTAATTATAAATAGTTATAATCATATACATAGTAAAATTGGAGAAATAAATATTCATTAATAATTAAAATTTAAAAATTACAACACACAAGATAAAATTAAAAATTACAACACACAAGACAAAATTAAAAATTACAATGCACAAGATGAAAAATTAAAAATCACAACACAAAATAACATTCAAAATTACAACGCACAAGATGAAAATACAACTATCAAGTAAAAATAGATAATCTTTCAAGGTTCGAAATTAGTGAATTCCTCCCACAAATGATCAATTAGTGCATTCCGAAGTGTAATCTGATCATCTTTATTTCTATTTTGTACCGAGATATGAATTCTTCAAATCGAGTACTTTCATCTACTGTCATTTCTACATCCGGCGGCGGCGTTTCCGTCTCAGTTTCGATTGGTGCACTTAGGTCACGTTCATCCTCGACAATCATGTTATGCAAAATTATACATGTGGTTATGATATCATATAGCACTTCTTTTTGCCAATAACGTATTGATCCCACTACAATGCCAAAACGTGATTGAAGAACTCCAAATGCACGTTCAACGTCTTTTCTGCATGTTTCTTGTTTCATTGCAAAATATCTTTTTGTCGGACCACATGGCTCATGAATTGTTTGCACAATGGTAGACCATTTTGGATATATGCTATAAGCTAAATAATAACCCATGTTGTATTATTTCCTCGAATAATATAATGAGTTAGAGGAGCAATACATTGGGTTAGATCCGAGAAAAGATGAGATGATTCTAGACGTTGATATCGTTGTTGGACCCCGACAAACCAAAATAAGCATGTCATATCCATAGATAATAAAATTATGTTTCAAGATGTCAGTTCTATAGAAGATCCTACAGTTTGAGCATGTATTGAAGCTGAAAAGACATGAATCTTAGATTAAAGAGCTCAACAAGCCCAATTGGATCCATTTCCAACTAATAACTTTGGCCAATTTTTCAATGATCTTGAAGGAAGCGGTGTCAACTTGCCAAATTACTAAATTCTCATGCTTGTTTTTAGTTTTTTGGGCTTATGATGTATTTTTATGTTATTACTGCGTGATGTTGTATTTTATTCCAGCACTAGTTATTTAAATGTTTTTCTTTAAATCGTAATGTATCATGTTTTAATGCTATTTCCATCTGTATTAGTAATGTTGTTGTTATTTAATGTTAGTGTTTTATTTTCTTGTTAAATAAAAATACCATAAATAATATAAATATTTTAAATTAGTATTTTGAAATATATAAAATTAAATGATAAATATAGTATTTATTATTTTAAATATTGTACAATTTAATTTTTATGAAATAAAGATTTTATTAATATTTTAAGAACATAAAAAAGTAATTAATTATCATATGACCTAAATTAATAATGATGGTGCTAAAATGAAATAAAAAAGAAAAAAAAGATGAGATAAATGAATAGAGAAGGATTAACATGAAAAAACAAAGATTGGACGCAAAATTTTGCGTCTGATGCAAATTTGCGTCCAAAAGGGGGGAGAGAGAGAGAGAGAGAGAGAGAGAGAGAGGCGCAAACTCATTTTGGATGAGTTTTCCAGCACGGGCAGAGGAAATCGTACTGCAAATTTTGAGTTTTGCAATACGATTAGAGACTGTCTTAGTAATTTTTGTTTGTGTGATACACAAACACGTTCTTAATTTTGCATAACATGTTTAGTTCATGATATGTACGAATATGTCTACCAGTTGATATGATATAAGATTAATATATTACATACAATTGTTATGTAATTAAAAGGTAACGAAATTTTTGACACATAATAGCGAACATTAAAATCTGCCACGGCAAGTAAATGAACATTAACTTAAAGTACTTTTCATGGGAATCTAATATGTACATATTACATTACTACCATACTTTAAACATTTTGTGTTTGTTTTTTATTCTTAAATGCTAGACAGTCATTTCCACGCCCTCCTTGAGCTTTGATGCGGAGATTCAGGCGCTTCAGATCGGTCTTTAGATTCCAACTGCTATCTCTTCTCACATTTGGATTGAGTTAGATGTTGCCACTATCGCCACCCTCTTGATCACGGGCCATCAGAGCTCGTGGAAGATTCAGCACCTGCTCATGCACATCAGATCCACACTTCGGTCTGTTCGCTTCCAGATCTCGCACATATTCCGCGAGGAGAACCGACCAGCTGACTTCATCGCTTCCATCGGTACCTCCATTCCCCAGTGGCGCATTTTTCACCTGGATGACGCTCATCTCCACGTCCATACTCTGGTACAGATGGATTAGATTGGCTACCCATTGTTGAGATTTTGGTAGTCGTTCTGTGCTTTTGTGCATTAGTCCACTCATGGTGCAGACTGCTTGCATGTGCACCTGTCAACTCAGGCTCAGACTTTTAGCTTTGATTGTTGTCTTTCTTCCTTCTTTTGTCTTTTGTTTTTGTTCTGTTTATTGTTTGGTTGTGTAGACTTGTGTTCTTGCAGCCCACTCTTCGGGGTGTTTCTTCCGAATATATATATATATATATAGAGAAAGGATCATATGAGAATGACTCTTAATGCGAGAAATGAGAATGAGTCAAGAAAATGCTAGACAATCATATTTTCAAAAATGCATACTTAATACAAATGTCATACTTTTGTTTGTATTGTGTTTTAGAATATGAGTTTGAAATGAAAGTACGTATAATTATTAATAGTATGATTGTCTAACCATTAAGCAGTCTAACACAAAACTTACTGATTATTTTAAGAAATTACGAATAATGTATACCTTAAACAGTTACGAATATTGTACAAAAATATATATTCCAAATGCATATTAGAATATAGGAAATGGCTACAGTCCGATCACGGTATGATTTCGTTCTCTTAATATGATCATTGGATGTTTTAGTTTGATATGTACCATAAGATGTAGTCCATAAATGCTGAAGTGACATTTTTCATGTGTTGAACTTAGAACATATATATAGCTTTCGCTTAATGCTTGGTACAAGTTCCAATCAAATAAAACTGAAGTACAATTCAATCTAGCTATATTCTCCACATGTTGCAAAGAAGAGACCAACAACAAATTTGTGACAACGTGTGGCATCAAACAAGATTTATGTGACTTAGAATGAAAGAAATTTAAGAAAATTAAATTGTTAAGATGGAAAGTTAAGGTAAAATAACTTTATATTTATTTCAAAAAGGATAAACATTGTTTCATTGAAGACTTGAAGTGGTGACTTGTGATCGGATGTAAAATTTAAGAAAAAAATTATATTTATGCTATCTCACTTTTTCTATACAATTTAACTAATACAATTTGAAAACAAGTCGTTATAAATATATATATATATATATATATATATATTATTCGTCCGCTCACATATTTAAAACATAAATCATTATAAATTAATATATTTATTATGTTTATATTACATCAATTCTAATTATTATATATTTTTTTAAATTAATATACATTCACGAATGAGATTTTTGAAGGTGAAAAAAAGGTTTGATAGTGAATTAGACGTTTAGCCCACAAAAATAACAAATTTCACTGTTTGGTAAATAACTGTCTGAATTAACATTTTGAGTAATTAACCTAATTTGCAAAAAGCTCAATATATGAGTTTTTTCGTTAGACATAAAAAAAAATATCCAAAGGTGTGGGCCAAGTGTGATATGAGTGAAAGACAGGTCAAAAATTTTCCAACTGAAATGTGTAAGCAGTTTATGAAATTGTTGGGCAGTTGTGGAAATTCTGCAATTCCATTCCTTATTTTGGCAGTGAAGTCTGGTTGCAATTTCATCTCCTTTTTGGTAGCATTATTAAGTGCCGTGTCCACAAACTCCAATACTTGTCCCTAAGTTAATGTGGTCCCAAAAAACACCCAAACATCCCTGTAATAATTCTTCATTTTAAGGTTATGTAATGGTTAGTATAATTTATAGCCAGCATGGGATTTAACGATCTTCTTGCTGCTAGAAACATTCTAAAGAGCAGCATAGAGAAATCGAGAGACATATCAGCCGCGCTCGACAAAACCAGCTCGAAACTCGAAAAAACAAGCCGCGGTCTGCCTTATCTACAATCGGCCATACACGACGTGGCAAATAAATGCTCGATTTATGAGATTAAAAGCGAAATCGACCGAGCCATTGGGCCAGCTGCTGGTGCCCTGAAGGTCCTTAGCCTTGTGCACGAGGTGCAGGCCTCACTCGAGACAGATCCACGTGTCGCAGGCTTATTCGCTTACATTAATGACGTTAAACGACTCCAGGAAGCGCTAAAACTGCTCGTCAGTAATTGCAGACTGGCGATAATATGGCTTGAAGATATTGATCGAGGATTGTTTGCTGATGGAGATGATTTTGGTGACTGGTATTTTGGCCGAGTGTCGACAGTCGTGAAGAAATTGGATGAACTGCAGGGAAAAGGGTACTGCTCGGGGGTTTTATCCTCCGCATTAGACAGACTCGAGCACGAGTACAAACGTCTCGTGACCGAAAGTCGAACGATAGATGATTTTCCAGCTCCCGATGCAATTCGAGAATTGCAAGCAATTATCGAAATATTAGCCGCTAACGGTCGCCTCGATAGGTGCGTATCCGTTTACACGGAAGCTCGGGTCGAAAATGCTCGGGCCACTCTACGGGCCCTCGGCATGGATATCCAACTGTACAAAACTGTAAGCAGTCAAACTGTAGAGAGTTACGTTGACATGTGGGATCAGCACATGGAGTTTGTGGTGAGGCATTTGCTGCACAGCGAGCGCAGGCTGTGCAGTGAGGTGTACCGTGATGATGACACGTGGATGAATTGCTTTGCGAAAATCGCTAGCGGATGCGGATTTACGGAAATACTCGATTTCGCGAGAAGAATTTGCGGAAGCAAGAGAGAGGCAATCAAGCTCCCGAGGCTGCTGAGGGTATTCTCGACACTCGACAGGCTGAGGCTGGATTTCAACGACCTGTTTGGCGGGAGATTTTGCGTCGGGATACAGAAAAAGACGAGGGGTCTTGTGAGGAGAGTCGTTCGAGAGACTTGCGAGATATTTTACAAACTCTCGGCGCAAGTCGAGCTGCAGAGGGCGTGGGGCCCGCCGCCAGATGGCAGCATCCCGAGGCTCGTTCGTTTTGTCACCGACTACTGCAGTCACCTTCTAGAAGATGGAAACAACAGCTTGATCCTTACGCGGGTTCTCGAGATAAATCGAGCATGGAATAACGAACTCGTAGACGGGCGGCAGCTTCTTTCTTTTGAAATTAACAACGTAATGAAAGCAGTCGAGACGAACCTGGAGACTTGGGCCAGAAGTTACGAGGATGCGGCACTTTCGCACGTGTTTATGATGAACAGTCATTGGTACTTGTTCAAAAGAGTAAGGGGAACCGAGCTCGGGAAATTAATGGGAGATTCTTGGGTGTGGGCCCACGAGGGATCGTTTGGGTACCACGCAGTATCGTACATGAGAGAGAGTTGGGAGAAGATTGTCGAGCTTTTACGTGAAGATGGGCTAACCTTTTTCCCGGGTGGTAGAGCTGTTGATCGGGATTTGGTTAAGAAGAGGATTAGATTATTCTGTGAAGCCTTCGACAACATGTACAGAAAGCAGTCAAAGTGGATGCTGTCGGATAAAGCCTTGAGGTGGAAAATTTGTCAGTTAATAGTCGAGACGATTGTTCGGCCTTATAAAAGCTATCTGCAGAGATTTATGCCGGCAGGATTAGAATACCACAGTGGAGAGAGTTTGGAGAATCTAATTGGTAAGCTTTTCCAATTACCAAAGCTCGGCAAGCAAAGTAATAGCAAATGCACGGATTTGATCGTCATCAACACAAGTGCTGATCATTTTGTCGATCACTTCCCGTCAACCCCTGCTGCCGCGTGTTGATTGGCTTTAAAATATAATGTTTGTACTTTCTACCATCACAAACTATGTTAAAGTTTTTATTCAATGTAAAGCAATAATTATCCAGATATATATGTATAGATACAAGAACAGTGTAAACCCCTAATGCTAAATGTGAGAGAAAACAATTAATTAATTTGTCTAGGAACTGTCAGCTTGATTTTTTTAACATTTTCACCACTCGTCCGCGTATGAGTGAGAGAGCTTAGAACATAATCATGGGTACACAATTACACATGAATTTATTTACAGGTTCATGGTAGGTGGCTAAACACTGGAAAAAAAAACAACAAAACCAGTGGTTGAGAAACTTGCAACTACTCCAAAATAAGCATTTGTTGATTTCAAGTTTCGTTTACCAAGAAAAGGTGAAACCTTTTGCAGTATCTCTCTCGTCTCTTTACAAAACACATCTGATTATCTAAATATCCCTACTCAAAATGTGGGTGCCTCGTATTAACGTAATATTCTACAGCATACAATACTAAAAGCTTTAGGTATCCCTGTATAGAACCTCTCTCTTTCTTATCAATGCTCCCAGACAGGATGTAAACGAAAAATAAAATAATAAAAACAAGCTGACTTAGAATTCACTATATACAAAGTCATGAAATAAAAATTCAAGCAGCAAACTGTTACTTGACATTCTAAGCCTATGAGCTGCACTAAAAGTAACTCGCCTCTAGTCTCTAGATAATACAGATACCTTAGAAGTTGGTGTATAAATAACTGATTAAGCAATATAACTGTCTCGGACACATAATGGTCCATCTAGTGAACTGGGGGATTTTTTGTTTAGCAAAATTCAGAAGGATATGGAGGCTATGCTTTTAATTTCTATTGACATCTTTAGTTAGGGCAACAATATATTTTGTTTCTGGCCCCAACACTTTTTACGGCCTGCCAATTTTCATAAACGCATTCTGGTCGCATACCTACATTATCTGGAATACAATCGTAAACAGAAAAATATCAGAAGAGCTGGAAAATCAACATCAAACAGCACCCACTGTGATGAATACATGATAGTTAGAACTTGACTTGCCGAATGATGGACAATATATTATGTGGTGTAAAAACTAATTTCCTAATTATTTCCATAATTTTATATTTTTAATTTAATTTTTTTGGTTTTTGTTATATGCCGACCCTCATTCTTTTTTAGAACCTAAAACATAGCGAAGGCTCTCTATTTTAGGTGTCCTAGTCAACCATTTTCATTTAAAAATCTTCCAATCATTTACTATCAACAAAATTATTCTTGCACAGGAAAAAATGAATAATTTCTTCCATTGAATTTGCCTATTAACAATTTGAAGCTAATCACTACATAACTATCTAAAAAACCCATTAACTTTGTAAACTGATTACCTCCAAATGCACTAACACAAACACGACAGTTTCTAATGACATGTAAGAGGACCCCATTATTCAATCAAAAAACTAAAAATATGCTGGCTGTCAGACCAGTGGCCGGACATGCTCTCGTACAAAACTTGTACTTGTAACCAAACAAATGAAGAAGAAGAAAATAAAATCCACAAAATACAACAGACCAAAATGGGAGAAAGATAACTAAAGCCAGTAACATATTAATGAGATAAGCAATGAGATCAAAAGAATATGTAACATCAAAACTAATTCGACTTACAGAATAGTGACCTTCTTCAGGTGTTTGACTTTACTGAATTCATGAGAATGAAAATTCTTCTCCACTTCCCAGGCCAGCTGAGACGTACCGTTGAAGGATGATTTTGCACCATCTTGCCATTCAGTACCTAAGAAAATTGATAACATTAATGATTAAATCCATTTTCCAGTTGGGAAAAATATTCCATAAGTCTCTGAACCTTTCAGTTCAACTGTCACTTGGGAAACCCATCACTAGACAGAATATCTGAAGTTTCCTTGGGCCGCCCTAATTGAAAAGAAATACAAGAACACCTGAAACTCTCAGAAGAACTAAGAAAATTTTCCAAATCAAGAACATGAAGTTCATACATACCATTTCCAAGTCTAGACTAAGGTCCAACAGATTCCTATATACATGCAATATTATTTTTACTCTTGATTATTGACCATTGTCATGATCCCCTGCTTTGCATAAATCAACAATAACATGGTTTTCTCTATTTTTGAGGGATACCTACAATCCTTTAATTCACCTTTCTAGTTTCTGTCAGCATGAAAAATGAAGAATCACGTAAGATGTTTACATTATGGCATCATTAACTACACAGTGTCACTGACGAATAGTTAATGTAATTAAAGAGGCATTCCTGAAGTAATATAACCTAGTCATTGCATTTGTAACACTAGCAAGAAATGGTTAATGGAATAGTAATACTCTCAGATCCATGTTCCCAGAGTACCAAATTCAACAGCCAATCAATTGTTAAGTATCTAAAAACAAAAGTGAATATCTCAAAATACAGGCTATCTGTGTTTTATAGTTACTGCTGGACCCTGGCAGGATCTGTTCACTTCAGGAAATAATCTCCAGCGTTATATGGTATAATTATTGTCGCCAGTGCAAAAAAAAATTTAATTAGTAATTACATATACGTTGCATTGATTAAAAAAAAAAAACTAGTCTTTAATTCCAATTTTGTCAGTGTATGCGTTGAGGCTGTCAGGGGCTCATTTTTAATTTTGTTTATTTATTTTTTTATTTTTAATTTTTTGTTCTCTGAGTTCAGTCTAATAATGTGACCTGCGAGTTTGTAAAAGACTGACTAATTATATTATGTATTATTGTAGCCTATTTTATTATTTTATTTAATTAATTTAAGTATTTAACTGACTACTATTTAAGTAAGACTACGTAAATGACTTAACTGGCTATTATTTTAAAATTTAAACTAATATTTTTTTAATCATTATCGGTTCAGTTTTACCGAACCCTTATGGGATCGGAACCGATACCGAACCGATATCAATTCAGTAACCGATGATCGGTTACAATTATAAATGAGTCAATTCGGTTTGATCTTTGGTAAAAAATAAAAAAATAAAAAAAAAATAAAAAATAAAAAATAAAAAAAATCAGACCCATTAACACCGATGATGGCTGACTATAAGCTCTTAAATAGGTCTCCACAGTTTAGCGGTTATGCACATACTAGTGTGGTTGTTCTTTTCCACACCAAATAGCAAAGACTACATGTTAACATGGAATGCCAGTAAGATCTCATGTTCTGCAAGAGCATGATCCGTCAAGAACATCCACATTGTGCTGGTCAAAAGGTCCTGAAATTTGGAACCTCCACTCATCTGATTTCAAATGTTGAAAGTTTGATCTTGATCGTGCCAAACTCGTTTATCAGATGTTGAAAGTGTGATCTTGAAAAGCCCTTAGTAAAGAAGTTTGTTTTCTGCTCGCTAGAAGGAACAAAGGGCAAATAAATGATTCCAGCTTCAAATCAGTATGAATAATGTGTACTATGCAAATAGCATCCTCTTTATGGGGGGTTGTTTGAGGGCCAAATCTACCCCGACGAAAGCCAGGAACCCAAGACATCCAACGAGAGATGAAAGAAAAAAAAAATAGCCTCACCGCAAGCAACATGGAGCCATTGGTGTTGTAAATATCAAAAATCTAAAATTGTCAAATGAACGTTCCATCTGTGCACAATGGTCTTTTAACAAATAAGTTAGTTTCCACATAAAACTATCACAGTCAAGCATCAGTTACAACACAAAATCATCATGGTTATAAGCATCTAAGATATATATCTTCTCATGACCTCTACAGCAGCATTAGTGTAGAACCAGCAACCTCAACACCTCAAAAGGAACTTAGTTGTTGATACCTTCAGGTACAAGTACAGGGCATGAACCAGTGACCCAAAAATGGTGAATGCCTTCTCTTAAGCTCAAATGCCTTCTCTTAAGCTCATGCATGGCAATCAAAATCAGAATCCAAAAAGAACGAACGAGAAAAAGCCACTCCATGACTTGTTCGGAACGCGTCATGTAAACAAAGAGCTAATACCTGGAATAGATAAACGCGCCATGTAAACAAATAGCTAATACCTAGAATAGATAAACAATCATGAAAAGATTCTGAAGTCCACTAAAAAACCTCATGGTAAGAAAACTGGAAGTGCGCCATCCAAGAACGTGAACCTCGGTCGAATTCCCCTATTGACTATCTATCCCGATATACACTTCCTTGAGAAGTGCGACCGCCTAGGTGGAGAGGGGAAGCCTGTCGGGATGGAGTTTGGAGGAGACGGCCATGCACAAGTTGGGATCTCTTGTAGGTAAGAGGGCAAGATAATGAGTCCGTCTTTAATCTTTACAATCACATTCTCCTCACTTCTTGAGGCGGATGGGTTAAAATCCGTCTCTTCGAGGCACTCATTCCTCGGAATCAGTAGGGCCGCAAGATATTATACAAAAATATATAATTAATAAAAGAATTAAATTAAAAAAAATAACACTTACTGGACATTTCAATCTCAATCTCCTTGTTTAAGTTGACTGCTTTGTTGAAATAGTGCCCTTGACATACCATTGGGAGCATGTTTATCATACTCGTATATCCAAGACTCAATGTTTTTTTCCATCTTAGCATCGTGATCAGTTGTTGGGTCAGTGAACTTAGACAAATTCGGCCATATCCGGAGTGCACAATTCGATTTTCTAATTTCAGCTTGATTTGCATAGCTGGATCCGCATAACTCAAAATTTTATAAAAATTAACTTGGTTGACCAGATTATAGCTACATGTATAAAGTCCATATGCCCCACCTTTTCATGAAATTTTTAATTAAATAACTAAGCCCAAATGGAATTCTACGCAAATTAAAGAAAAAAAAAAAAAAAAGACAAATAAGTGAAATGTTGTCTCCCATTATCCAACAACATTCATTCATTGACCCACAACTGATCACGAATCACGATGCTAAGATGAAAAAAAGCACTGAATTCTGGATATACGAGTATGATAAACATGCTCCCAATGGTATGTCCAAAGGGGACTATTTCGACAAAGCTGCGAGATTGAGATTGAAATGCCAAGTAAGTACTATTTTTTTTTTAATTTAATCATTTTATTAATTATCTATTTTTGTATAATATCTTGCAGCCCTACTGATTCCGAGGAATGAGTGCCTCGAAGAGACGGGTTTTGACCTATCGCCTCAAGAATTGAGGAGAATGTGATTGTGAAGATTAAAGACGGACTCATTATCTTGCCCTCTTACTCATCTAAAAGAGATCACAGCTTGCGCATGGCCGTCTCCTCCAAACTCCATCCCGCTTCCCCTCTCCACCTACGGACATGGCGGTCGCACTTTTCAAGGAAGTGTATATCGGGGTAGTGTGAATGACGGAGTCATTCGGGGTATTCGACTCAAGTTCACGTTCTTTGACGGCGCACTTCTGGTTTTCTTACCATGAGGTTTTTTAGTGGACTTTAGAATCTTTTCATCATTGTTTATGTATTCTAGGTATTAGCTCTTTGTTTAGATGGCGCGTTTATCTACTCTAGGTATTATCTATTTGTGGCGCGTTTATCTACTCTAGGTATTATCTATTTGTTTACATGGCGCGTTCCTTAACAAGTCAGGAAGTGGCTTCTTCCCGTTCGTTCTTTTTGGGTTCTGATTTTGATCGTCATGCATGAGCTTAAGATAAGGCATTCACCATTTTTTAGTCACTGGTTCGTACCTGTACTTGTACCTGAAGGGTGTGAAGGGTATCAACAACTAAGTTCCTTTTTAGGTGTTGAGGTTGTTGGTTCTACACTAATGTTGTTGTGGAGGTCATGAGAAGATATATATCTTAGATGCTTGGGACCATGATGATTTTGTGTTGCACTGTGATAGTTTTATGTGGAAACTAACTTATTTGCTAAAAGACCATTTCACAAATGGTACATTCATTTGGCAATTTTAAATTTTTGATATTTACAACACCAATGGCTCCATGTTGCTTGCGATGCCTTGTTATTTTTATTTTTTGTTTTTTTCTTTTTCTTTCATCTCTCGTTGGATGTCTTGGGTTCCTGCTTTACTCGGGGTAGATTTGGCCCTCAAACAACCCCCATACATAAAGAGGATGTAATTATGCACAGTACACATTAATCATACTGATTTGAAGCTGAAATCATTTGTCTGCCCTTTGTTCATTCTAGCCAGCAGAACGCGGACTTCTTTACTAAGGGCTCTTCAAGATCAAACTTTCAACATTTGATAAACGAGTTTGGCACTCATCTGAAAATTTAGGAGAATGAGATTGCATACCATAATTAGGTGTGATTTCAGTTTGTCTTGATCTCTTCTCGCCATTTCAGCCTCCAAATTTTACAAGCAACGAGCTTAGGGTTTAGGGTTCACTTCAGGAAATAATCTCCAGCGTTATATGGTATAATTAAACTATGAACCACAAATTTACGACAAAGATTATAACAGAATGAAATAAGCTGAATTTTATGTAACCTAAACTCAAGAATTACAACAAAAGAGGAAGCAGTGAAAGAACAAAAACATGTCACAAATTTTGCAATCGAACAGGGAAATACCTGAAAATCCAAGTCCACATAAATGTTGCAGAACCGTGTGAACATCTTCTTTGTTGTGGGTGTTGATCTCATCAACAAATTTTTTCTGCAGTCGCTAGGTGGATCAGGTTTAGCTGACCCATATTCTGATGAAGAAACCCAAACGTCATCCTGAATTTGAACTGTTACTCTGCCAACTTCATTAAGCTATCCTCATTTTCTTGACTATAATAATAAGGAAAAAATAAATAAATTCATATTAAATAATATGTCAAACCTGAGCATAATCTTCTATCCGAAGTATCCTTTCAACATCAATGACATGGATGCAGCTTTCTTCCACATCCTCTTTAAACCGTTTCTTCCATGCTGAACACGATCTCTGTTATAAAATCAAATGAATAATTCAACAAACGTCAAAAGTCTTCGATGGACACCAATGCAAATCACATGTTCAAGCTTAATCCTTTTTAACAAGACTTTTGGAACCTTATGAAGGACATTGACATTCAGAGCCAAGATAGGTTAAATTAGGATACTCAAGGACACATGGTGGTCATAGATCAAGATAAAGAACATAAAATATCATCTCCAATGCTACCATTAAAGCACTACCCCAGGACTACACATATCGACACACCAACATCAGTTGAATTAACGAGAATATGCATAAGAACATGTAAACACCTATTAAAGGTTCGTATCAATTCCCTCAACTTTGATAACATATTGTTCCAGCCTATTCAAAGCAAGTATCAGTTCCTCTAATGCATGTAACAGGTATACTCAGTTAAAGAAGTAATACCACCACCAAGTCAATAAACTATTGTACAATAGATTAAACACAAGAAACTACACAAAATCATCAAACTTCAACTTACCTTCAAAGCCATCCTATCTACAGGTTTCTCAAGGTTCCCTTGTATTGTACACTGAGGCGTCCGCATACCCGACTGATCCAACTGGTTAACATTCAGCCGATTTACGGATGAAAAGAAAATCAACACATTTCCACAAATTTATCGAAGGAAGAACTAATTCACTCGATCATATGTAGAAATACAGGCATACATGCTCATAACCATTA